AAAGATAGTTTTTAATTTTTTTGAATCATTTGTATTTTTTCTCTCTTAAATTTAGGAATAAAATATTAAAATAAATATCTACAATACCATTAAGAAAAACTAATTCGCCCTCTTGTATTTTGAATGTTATAATCCGGTATACCTTTAAACATCATTAATGAAAATTGTTGATATAAATCTTAGATAATATAAAATCGAGTAAAATAATGAAACTTCTTAATATATTTTTAAAATTCTAAATAAGTAAGCGTCGATAATTTCAATGACATTTTATACGTATTTTTATCTTCTAGTAATTTAATTTTTCTCAAGTCTCTAACTTAATTATTTATAAAATAAGTATTATATATATATATAATACTAATTATATTTAGGAGAATAACAATATAATGTACTTTTTCTTAATATAATTATTGTCTATACTTAATAAATAATTTTTCGATGTTTGTTTAGATATTTCATTTTATCTTATTTTAATGTGCATGTTTAGGAAATAAAAGTATTATTCTATATATATTTATAAATTTTATTATTTTGAAAAGTAAAAAGAGTAAATCATGAAAAATATAAATATTTAAAGGTAAAAAATTATTATAAAATTCTATATAAAATAATATAAATTAATTTTTTAATTATTTTAAAGTTATAATATATTATTTTTAAATTAAATTTTTTTTAACTGAATTATAATTTGACATTCTATGTATAATTAAAAAATTACACATGTTTAAAACGTGCATTAATAAAATTTCTTTACGTCTTAAAATTATTCAAATTTTATTCTCCGGAATAGCACATTTTCTCAATAAGTATAATTATAATAACTCCTGTTGCTAATTTATTATCTTTAATTTCCATCTTTATGGTTTCTGTAAGTATATTTCAATTTAAATGAATAGTCATTCAAATATTTTCTCAGCTTTTTACTTTTAAATATAATTTTAAAAAATTTATTTTCTTTATTGAAACTTCCTGCTCAGATTTTAGTTTCGTTCTGCTAATTTTAATAAGCTCAATATCATAGACTTTCTAAAAAAAATTCTAATATTAAAAATGTTATCATAAAATTATTTTTTATAATAAGATAAATCATTTTTAAGTTGAAATTAATTATTTATAATTTATGCACGTAGATGTAGAATTTTTGTATGTGCGAATGAATGTAAACTCGGTAAGAACTTGACATATTTTCAATACGAAAGCTTTGATAGTCATAACGGACGTTAATTAAGATGTACAGAAATATTATTGAATATTGAGATATTGTTGCATTGTCTTTCAACAAATTAAACAATTATGAGATATTGAAAGGTAATAAGTATGGCCTATTCGTAATATCACAAAAGGTTCGAATGTATTCACTTATAATAATACCAGGCAATTTCATCGATATTTTCTTAATGTAAACACGGTCATATTTCTAAATTTTCCTATGGTTTAAATGATTACTAAAGCTAACTTAAATAAACAAAATAATCAATAAAAAGTAATGACAATAAATAACAAAAAAAAAATTTTTTTATATACTTAAAACTATTAAAAACTAAAGGAAAAAGTCAAAGTATAAAATTATTAGATTGTAAAGAATAGAATAATATTTATGAATTCTTCGCTATATAAATCTTAAAAATTTCTTTGTAACAAACATTTATTATATATATATATGTATACATTGTAGACAATAAGCAAAAAATATATTTATATAAACTACCTAACATAGTATGTGCTTATGAAGAAATAAATTCTGTATATCAACGTATATAAAAGTTATTTATCTATTTAAAAATGGAAATGTAAGTACTTACATATTAATACACAATATACTTTGTACATGTAATAATAAAATTATAAAAATAAAATAGCATCATTTAAATTTGAACTTCGGAATCCGATATTTATTTTTCTTTTTGTTTTTACTAGATAGTCTCATTATTAATAAGTTATGTATTTCCTAAATATTACTACCGAAGTAAATATTCTATAAAATTTTAACATACCATATTAAATATTATATGCACATCATAAGGTTAGCGAAGAACAAAAATGCCAACTTATTAGAGATTAATTTTTATTTATAATTTAAATTTTTTTTAATAAATTAATTTTAATTTATAAAGTAATTTTGTAACAACTAAGATTATATATCAATGAATTTGATTATGGAATAAAAATTCCTATGATATTTGCACATACTTATAGGAGCGATAACACTCAGAATTTTGAAATAACAGTCAATCTTAGTTTGAATCTTAGTTTGATTAGAAAAGCTCGATAAATTCTGAAAGTTCATTGCATAAATTATTTTTAACATATTTATTAGCGTTTTAATAAAATTATTTTGCCACCGATAATTTACTATTAATTTCTCATTAAAATTTGATAAAATCCTTTCTGTACATAATATAATATAACGCAATAACCCAAATAATTTTAAACTAACATTTTATTAATGTAATATCATTCGTTTTGTTTGGTTTAATGGCAAATTCTTGTGATGAGAATTTTTTTTCATCTTTATTTTTCTTATGTATTTACATTTAAAAAGCGTAGTACTTCAATCACCTTCAATACTAGTTGTTTTTGTTTTATATTTTGTTATTAGTAGAAAAAAATCATTAGATTAAAGCAATACTAAATAATATAATTATATTTTTCGGCATTTCTTCAAATGAATAGATATCATAAAAATAGATATTTATAATTATTTCAATTTCCATTAAATTTATATGACAAGAGCTAGAGAAATTCTAAATTATTCATATCTGAATTTTCAATTGATTTGCACATTTTAAAGCATGTATCGTGTTAATTAATAGAGAAATAAATATTTTCTTATTCCAATCGACGACTAGAAACTGTATTAAAACGTACTTAAAAAATGTAAGAAATAAATTGAATATTTCATCAATATTAACTCAAAGAAATTTTAATACATCACTGTTTCATTTATCATATTTATTCGAAAAAGTCTGTTAAACATCTAGAATCTGTAGGCGAATAATGTTAATTCATCTTCTTTAAAATTCGTGCATTATTTTAGGCGATTAGTAAAATTTTCATAAAAACCAAAAAATTCCACATAGCCATTAAACCATTATGATGTCTATTGATTCTAGTAAATTAATTACAGCAATAGATGCAATCCAAATGAATCACTTTATAAATAATATAATGATATTAATAGAAATATTATTCAAAGAAAATCATTTATATAATTAGAATTCATAAGTATCATGTTCTAAATGAAATTGCAATTAATAATTAAATTGCCACTTCGGACTAGGTATTAATTTCTTTGAAGTTTAGAAAATTTAAGTACCTACCAGTGATTCATCAATATTTATCTAAATGTTTCTTCAACTATCGACGATCTTTTTCACTAGATATTTTTATAATATAAAATAAGAAAATAAATTATCAAAAAGTGATTAAGAAAAATAATTGCTATTTGATAACACTTACAATTGTATACTGATTTACTCAATTATTTATATTTAATGCTTATGTAATAATTATTAACACTTTTATTAAAAAATAAACTTTTAAAATTAACATGTTATCAATTAATTAAATTTTTATTATATTTTCTTTCTTTTTGTTTTTCACAAACTATAATAATATAATTAATATAATAATTAATTTCTGCTTGTTATGTAATACTTAAGAATACTATATTTTTTATATACAAAAACTATACACACATATATATTTATTGTTTCCTCTGATTGTTTGAAATTTTTTCTATAAATAAATAAAACTTTGAATTATTAATACATATTAAATTATATATGTATTTTAATATTTTATCTATATTTATTTATTCATTATTAATAATAATTAGGTTACAAGTAAATAAATATTTCTTTTATATTATAAATGTATTTATTTATTTAATTATGATAATATGGTATGAAGCTCATTTAACTTAATTATTTGTAAGGAATAACTAATTTATCGCTGTAAAATTTAAATAAAAATTGCAAATAAAAATAAATTCATTGATTAAAAACTTTGGTAAAATTATATAACACAATTGAAGTATTAATTCTGAAATTTATTTGTATAAACAAGAATTTATCTTATAAATATTGTAAAATAAATATTGTTAAACATGTTAATCAACCAAAATTTAGTTTAATCGTAATTTATTGACCATTATACGCATTTAACAGTAATATTATGTGTAAAGGCGACATAATTTTATAATTAACGGTTCATTTCAGCCACTAGATTTTAACAATCAATTATAATTGATAATTAAAAATTCATTATCAATACTACATGTAGTACAGTAAAATCATCCAAATACAAATATTTTCTTGTATAAGATACTAAAAACATGTTATATTTGATTTATAACTATTTGTACTTGGTTTAAAAATATACTTTTTCATATCCTATTCATTCACATTTTTATATCAATCTATAAGTCTGCAATCCATTTGGTACACTGGAACTGGAACGTATGAGAAATTCAATTCAAATAACATCAATTCACTTTGGCTGTGAAATTGTAATAACAAATAGTTAAGTCCCTAAGAAAATGGAAATATTTATAAATCCATGCATATAGCATAAAATATGCGTATAAAATAGCATATACATCATAGCCATAAAATAATTTGCTATTTATATTTTTACCTTTCTATTTCGCATTTAACATAAGATAGAAGATTTTAAAACCCCATTGTTATTTGATTAAACAGCATTGATGGTCTTTTCATATTTAAAGTTCTAGTTTATCAAAAATATATTTCAAGCGTTATTTATAATTCATTTATAAAAACATACAATTAAATTGTTTTTAATGTTTTCAATTTTATGATACAGTAACATATTTTTTATCTTTCTGTTATCAATAAACAAAATGAAGTTTTGTCTAATTCAAATTTATCAATGCAAATGTATTAAAATGGTTTTATATTTTAATCCTCGAATCCCAATATTCGTGATAAATATTATGAAATACAAGAGCAAAAAGTACAATCAATTTTATCAATGTAAAATTACAATATTACTGCTTTAAATAAAATCTTCATATCTTTTTTAAACACTTATTGCTTGTAGCTACATTGACATTTGTTCCTTTTCTTTTTGTTCCAGAAACACATCGGAACATGACTAGCGCTCTAATTCAAATAAATTTTTAAGTACATACATTGCTACTATTTTATCACATACTCTGGTAGGCTCATAATATCTTATTTAATAAGGTAATAATAATATGGCGCATGTCAAACTGCGTCAGGCACGAGGTCTAACACTTCATCTCGGCACTTTGGAGTTTACTAAATATCTAAAAAATGTTATGAAAACTTTGTTGTATTATATTACAAAACTAGAGAATAAGGGAAAATTTTCATGGCAACATAGTCATCTAAAACCTATATAGAAAAAATATTGATTTCATTTAATCATTCTTTCATTAATGTTTGATAATGTATTTATTACATAAATATGTTACTTCTTTTAGTGCTTCTTTCGTCATTTTCTGATATTTGTAAGAGAAATCAGTACTCTGGGATAATTTTCCTGGATTTAAGTACAAATGCTGATTGTGAAGAAGCTCTTGATCTATATATGGTGAAAGAGGACTATTTTCGACTCCATCTTTGTTACAGGCCTCTGCCCACGGCCCCATGTGCTTGTCATTAATTTCTTCGACAACTGTATTCATATCCATCTGAAAGTAAACATTCATTTTATAATTATTATCAAATATACAAAAATTTGAAATATACGTAAGTAACAATCTTGAGTCATAAACTTATCCATCAAGCAATTACCTTGGCTAGAGAAGACAAGGCTGTTCCCCAATAATCATGATTTATATTAAAGAGTTCGGATACAATAGCGCTTATTGATCCTTGAGTGGAATTTCCTTCGTCAACAAGATTGTAAATTTGTCCAACCGTCTCAGGCCTTGTAGCGATGTGCCAAATAGCACGAGCTACATCCCTAACATGAACTGTATTCATGCGCAATTCAGGTCCCCATAACAGTTTCATCATTTCACCCAAATGTTTATATACGGCACCAATAACTAGACGAGGAGCTGGAAATATGTATGCCGCGTTAAAAGAATTGAACAATAACGGAAAGGATATTGTGACATTTTAATCTTTATCTTATTATTATTTTACCTAAACCTGTCCTGTCCCCAAGGCCATAGACGATAGCTGGTCTAATTACGCTATATCTCAAGCCAGGTACATTTTTTAAATCATTTTCAACTTGAAATTTATGTTTAGCAACATAAGTCCATGGTTCGGTTGTATCGTCTTCTTTAAGCGACATCTAAATAAATATACATTTATAATAAAATTAAATTAAATCAAGGAGGAAATTATTTAATCAATATAATTTACATTTAAATAAAACAAATTTATATTCAAATAGAAACCTTTTCTGAGCAAGTAAAATTTCCAGAAGAAATTTCAATGTAACGCTCAACATTTATTTTAGCGGCTTGTTGAGCACAATTCATACTTAATTTATAAATTCCCTCTTTATAAACCGGATCCGTTTGTCCACTTTTTGTTTCACCAGCGCAATTAAATACATAGGAAATTGGATTGTCCGACAAAAATGCATTTTGACATGAAACTGCGTACGCAAATTTATAAGCATATTGACAAGAATTTATTGAAAACATAAAAAGGCAATATAATACCTTGATTGATAAGATTAGCACTTCTGAATTCTATTAAAGGACTCTCAAAAATCTTCTGATGTTTAGTATTTAGCCAGGCAGTCTGAGGCGGAACCTTGTCTACTACTCTTAAATAAGAAACCAGCTCATTTTCAATTAAATACTCGACTAAATTACGTCCTATAAATCCACAGCCTATAAATTACAATTTTTTTTTAATAGAAATCCTATTGAAAAATGGTTTAATATAATTTATCTTTTTATAAATAATGAATATAATGGTAAGAAATATCTTATGATTTATAAAGTTATATGCTAATAATTTAATTAAATAATTTAGTCAAACAAGAAGTTTAATAATTTCATTATACTTCACATATATCAATTAGTGGAATAAAAATGATGAAATACTCGTCAATGTAGAAACACTCGTTAATTGGAAATATAAAATTTATGCAGAGATAAATGTCTAAATAGACACAAATATTGTGATGTTCTTTGTACAAATAGCAATGTGGTTTTCATTTATATAAATATATTGATATAATCACAAGAAATGAAATGTCAGCGATGAAAAAATAAAATTTTATTAGAGCATTTGTCATGTAATGCTGCAATATAATTTTTGTCAAACTTCATGTGCATGGTTTAATGTCACGTTTAGCTTGAAAGTTTTGAGATCAACTATATATACATTATAACTGATAAATGATTTATGTAGCGACCGAACTTCTGAGCATGGAAACGCAAATCTATACGTAATTTAACTTAAGATAAATACAGATAATTTTGATATAAATCGATATTCAACAGCAAAACAATGAAATATGCTGTGTAAAATATAATGCAATGTTAATTGTAAATTAAAACTAATAAAAGGAAAATTATTTATCACGAATGAATTTTAACAGTTAAAACGAGATTTCAAAGTATAGATAATAAATACTCGACCAGTAGATAAAGAATTCATAAGCACTGCACAGTGATTAAAATATTACCATCGCTGCATCACACTAATTACAACCTCAGCCCAATAATACAAACAATACAAAATTTACTTATCTCACCTCCCAATACAATAACGCCGGGTTTTTCGTTAGGCTCCTTGTCGTTTGCCATAATCGCACTACTCGCCCAAATATAAATTCCATACACCGAAAAACGACCGCATACACACCTTGCAGCTCTCCTTCCCACACCCTGAATTTTTTCTTTTTTCTTTTTTTTTTTTTACTATTCCGTTCGCTTTCCTTTCAGGATATAAAATCAACTATATATGCATGCATACGTATGCGCACGCACGCGCAAGTGTATGACTGGAATGACACACGAATGCGTGGTACACGTACACGCCAAAAGAGGCCTTCTGCGCGGGTGTCCACTTTAATTTTATTTTTCGCACGCAGGACACGCGTCACACTCTGCCAGTAGGATATTCGCAAATCGTATGCAACGATGCCTCATGATCCTCTCTCCTTTACTCTCCGCCTCAGCTCGCCTTCGTATGTACGCATGCATAAAAAAACGTGTCGACGTCGTATATCTATGACATATATATATATATATATATATATATGTCTCTCTCTCTCTCTCTCTCTCTCTCTCTCTCACACACACACACTTCCTCTTAGAGAGCATGCATGTTTACAAGTGGCAGCCTCTTTATCAACCCTTGATAAAAGATAAAAGGCTCTGCAGTCTTGCGCGCGCGCACGCTTGCGCGAAAGTGGGAGACAGGAGAGACGAGAAACAGAAAAAGAGATAGGAATAGGGGGGAGGGAGAGAGAGAGAGAGAGAGAGAAAGAGAGTATGTGTTAAAAGTCAAGAGTTAATCTCTGCTACTGACTTGCTACTACTTCTACTATTATTTTTTATTCTCGAGACTTGCAACTTCCCTCTATACTTGCCTCTCCAGACCCCCCCCCCTCCTGCTCTTATAAAATATACGTTGGATAAAATGTATTTTCAAAACAACACAGTTCGAAACTTACAATTTCATTATTACATTATTAAATTTCACATTCTCTATCGTGCATCGCCTTTTTATCAAAATTCTTAAACGCCTTTCCTTATTAAAATATTGGTAAAAAAAAGAAATCTTCGTTCTTTAAAACAAATTTATGAATACCTGTTGAGCATAAATTTCATAATTATCTACAAAAATGGTACACCGTATATTCGATATAAAATACAATATACGCTGTATTTAATCAATTTAAATTTAAATTTAAAAAATATAAGAAAAAAATATAAGTGATTGACTATCTTTTGATTAACCTTACTTCGATTTTTATAACAAATAATTTTAAAAATAAGTTATAATATTCATTAAAAATTACAGTCAAAGAAACAAAATGTTTTAAAACCGAAAGATATAGTGGAAAAATGATTTAATAAAAAAAAAAAAAAATTAATAAATTTACTGTAGAATGTTTAAGCAGACGATTTGTCATATTAATAAATAATAAATATAAATAGTACATGCAGACAAATAGATTCAGAAATATTTATTAATTATTTACAAAACATGACAGGCCTTTAATTTTAATAGATAAAATTATTTCGATAAACTACCATTATGTATTTAAATCTTTATTATTTTATATTTTATTAGCAATTTTATATTGTCATCAAGATTAATTCAAACTATTTTCAAAATTAAGAAAATACATTTTTCTAATTTTCATTTACTCTAAGAAACCAAAAGTATTTCAGATATCTCAATATATCAATCCAAATATAATTTTCATATAAATGAAAAATAATGAATGCTTAATTTCTCAAATTTATTATTTATATAAATCAATCACTGATTTAATTAAGAACGTGCCAACGTTTAAAAACTTAATAAATGTTTATAAGATTCAATATTTAAAATTAAAAAATGTAAAGATATATAAAGCGTGAATAATAAAAGCTATGAAAGAATTATATTAATTATGATTACAATAAAATGCATAATTTGCACTGCCACTTTTCGTTTCTTTTTTTTTTTTTTTTTTCTTTACTAAACACTTTGATTTATTTAGAATTATAGACGATTATCTGAAATAATAAATTATCTGAAAATAATATTTATTAGCTATTTATATCGAGATGGCATTACGCTTTAATCGTTACAATACCTTATATCCCAATTACCAATGTGCATTTGAAAATTAATTAAATAACATTTATTTTTAACGCAATGTAAAGCCATCAAATGCAGACACGAAAATAAATAGCTGAATTAAAAAAAATTGCAAAAAAATTGTGTATTGTTCTCTAATTATGGTATTGAAAGGAGTTGATGAAGCTTGCATTTATTTATTCATAAAGACTGCACGAACTCATAGACTCCGTTCTCCTAAATTCCGTGAAGGTAATTGTATATTCACAAGTGCATATCACATAGTTTAACGATCACATAGATTCGATATTATAACAATGAATAAAAAGCCATTCGCAAATTAAATGTTATTTTATTTACAATTTAGTGAGCTAGGTAAATCCGTCGTATGAATTTTTTTTATTATAAAAGAATGAATAAAATTTAAAAATGGATAGATATAAATATTTTATAATATTAATAAATAAATTTTGTTCTTATTTATACTTACGTTTTGTTTTTTATATCAAAAATCACAGCTTATCATTCGGTAACTCATATTTTGCGATTAAAAATTTTACAATTAAAAATAATCAGATAAACCTGCTCATAATAAAAAAATCTTTCCTATTACAATGAATCTGGTTTACATTTGAAATAAATTTTGAATAACTATTATCGTTTGATTAATAAAGGCAAATTGATTAAAAAATGTTTATAAAGTTAATCATATTAATGAGTATTTTTTATTTTTGAAAAAAAAAAAACACTTATTGATAGTTTTGAATAAATATATGTATAATATTATTTCTTATGATACTTGTATTAATATATTTTTTTCAAATATTTTTAAACGTACTTTTACATATTAATTGCATTTTTAATAACAGTTTACTCTCATGACTCTCATTTGAGAGAGAGAAAAAAAAAACCAAAATTTTACTATTATAATTTTTATAAGTTTTGATTATTAGATAAGAATTGATAAAAACGAGGTACGACTGCTAAGTTGACATAATAGTACCAACATACAATAATGGAACTAACCAACTAATTTTTACATAACAGCAATCGACAGATTCGACCAACCATAAATATAATAGCTATTAATTTTTAAAAAATCACTTTAGTTATATGAAGGCATTTACAGGTAAGTACAGTTTGAGAGCTGAAAAACAAAAAAACATATGTCAATATGTAATCATAATGATAGTATTAACTGTTAACTGAATTCTGCTCTTTCAACTAGCTTAAACTCATGCCATATTTATAAAAAATATAGTATAGTTTATTAATCTTGCCTAGTTAAAAATGGGCTCTAGTCAAAGTACTCATAAATTTACCATTGTCAATGATAGTATTGATAATATCGTCAGAATTTCTGATGATGTTGCCAAAAGGTTATACCAAAACCATGTAGAATATTCTAATAAAGCGAATGAACCCAACAATATAGTACCAGGACACGTACCTACCACCAAATTACAAAATGATGAAGTGTATTATCCTTTATATACTCTTACTGCTCTGGAAGTGCTTCAACAGAACCAGATACAATTAGAAAATCAAGAAACTTACTGGATAAATCGTTTAAATGAGCTTAAAAAGAATCATGAAATGATCGATAATCAGCTTGTAAATGAATTTAAAAAAGCTAAAAACATATTTGAATATAAAAGTAAGATGATTATTTTTTGATGAATAATTGTAGACAATAGTATTGTTACATAAAATTATAAATATCTGTATTTAAAAGTTGTTTACAAAATGAAGTATTTAAAATTGTTAAATTTAAAAAACTGAAATCTACTTAATTCAATAACAAATACTTCATTTATGTTTCTTCAGCTTTATAACAAGTTAGTTCGGTAAATTTTTCTTATTATTATTCTATGATTTATTAAAAAGAATGATTTTTTACATTAATTCCATTAATTAGATAATTTAGATAAGATAATAAATAAAATCAGTTTTATGTATAATTCATATTAAAATTCAAGATATATTTAGAAATTTTATAATTATTTGGATTACTATCAATTATGATTTATATTGTTTGGATAGAAATAGTATATAAGTAATACAATATATATGTATAAATCATATTTCAATACTATACCTTTTTTATATTGAAAATAAATTCAAATTTTATTTCAAGATTAGATATTCAATAGGTTGTCCGTAATGAAAAGATTCAAAATGTAAATTAAATTTTCAAAATAATATTTATCTAGTTGAAGTTACTACAACTAAAATAATTTATAAAATAGTTAAATTATTTAATATGGCTTGTTTTTATTAATTTATCTGATAAGTTTTATAATAAATCATTTTTCTCAATTAACTAATTCTAATAATTTTATACAACAGGTTAATTATGTTTAATGTATTATAAATTATTGAATTTTGTATGTAATAACTAAACTATAGAAAATTTAAAAAATTGAATTAATATATACTCTTCGTAGGCCTATATATATATATATATATATATATGCGTGCGTGCGTGTGTGTGTGTGTGTTTATGCAATAGTTTATAAAAAAATTAATTTATAAGAATACAGTTTAAAAATAAATAAATTAACGTTGTTTAAAAATTCTTTGCAGTGGCAAAAATTAAGAATTCATCCCAAATGTGTTTGAAATATGAAGAAAGTTTAAAGGATTGCTACTCTAAGAATCAAAATAAAATATTAAATTGTTCTGTAGAATTAACAAATTATGCAAAATGTGTGAATGAATGCAGAGAAAAAGTTATGCCGATACAATAATATTTGATAAATTAGAAAACCAAGAAAATATTTGCTTCTTGTATCAGAAAATGTGTAACTCCTAATTATTGATAATTTGTAATTTAATGAAATATTTTGGAATGTGGATTCAGCATAATGTCCAAAAGAAAGAATTGCAATGGGTAATAAATAAACCGTTTACAGATTGAATCGTGAATATTTTTATTAAAAATGTATATTACATATATATTCAATGTATATTGAAATAAAAAATTAATTAATTAGTTTTCGTTATTAATTTATATTTGTAAAATTATTTTCACACATAGTAGTAAATATTTCTTAAAAAATTCCTTTACTATTAACCAGATTTATCTATATATTATTGTTTTACATTTTTGTTCTGTACATAGTTGCATTAAAGATATTTGCTTCCTTCCGTTTAATTAATTATTAACTATAATTAATTAAATAAATATAAATAAAACAATATACTTTATTCAAAATTTTATAATAAAACTGTAAAATATGTATAAAGGGATTAATTCTATTATGTTAGTAAGCTTTAAGAAAGTTTTATTAATCTTGTATTCACACCCAAATATTTATGAACATATTCACACTCCATGTATACTTTTTTTACAAAAAAATATTTTATAACTATAAAAACTGAAGTTTTATAAAAGGATTAAATGTTAAATTTGTTTCAACCTCCTAAATTGATTTTATTCATTCTAATGGAAATTAGACTTTTAAAAACTTGCACAAATACTTGAAACATATTAATGTAAAATAAAACAAACACTATTGTCGTTGAATGACTTTAAGTATTAAAAAAATCGCTTAATACGTTAAAATATTCAATCGCTCTTCTTATCACCACTAGTAGCTGTAAGTGCAGAGAATGCTGTATTTAATTTATCATATTCTTTTCCTAATGATTCTGCTTGGGACTTCATTGCTAATTTGTCCTTTGTTTCTTTCTCTAATTTAGTTTTTAGTTCGTCATTCTCTGCTTCCAATTCTTCGACACGATGTTTTAGTTTTACATCAATTTGATCATTTTTCTCATTCTCTGGAGTTTTTGTTGATTGCTGAAGAAGACTTTTAGCAGCATTCATAGCAGATTTAGCTTGCTTCATAGATGCTTCACTTTCAGCTGACAGCGTTGCTAGTGTAGAGATTAATATAACAAGTCGACGTATTACAAGGCTCAAAAACAGAGCAAATCCAGATATGTAGAAATTTCTTTGGGCACGAAATAATCTCATGTTGCCTATAATATAGATTATTAATTAATAATTATATATATATATTTAATATTTATTATAATATAATTATTTATAATAAAAAAAAAAAAAGTTCTATACTAATTTTAATAAGATAACTAAAAATATATCTTTTTCGTATAAAAATTAATTAATAATTATTTATTTTAATGCAAATAATAAATACCTTGCATTTCGGCATCCAAATGAGTATGTTCACTTGCATCCACAGAGGAATATTTTCGGATCTCACGGATTGCATCAATCAGAAACAGAACGAGTGTTGCAAGTAGTACAAAAAAATAAATACTAGCTTGTTTCCCCAAACTTTTTAAAAATCTTGACTTGAAAAACCGATGCCATCTCTGCGGCGAAGCTACTGGCAAAACCAGAAGAAGTACTACAAAAATCTCAGCATACAGAAAAGCTGCGATTAACATCCACTGGAAACTCATATTATTTTAACGCTAATTCTTAATAGTGTAGATGAATACTGAAATATAATAATTACAAAAGTTAAATTTATTACATAATTTGTAATAAAATTAGAGAAAATAAAAAATAACCTAAATAATGATCAAATATCTTAATATGAAAAACACAGATGATCGAGAATTTATTATCATAAAAAATTAATATGTCACATGTCAAGAAATTTTTAATCTACTTATGCATGTTAAAAAATTATAATAGAGTATTTGTGCCTTTTCGTTTTATAAATAAATTTTCATCCAAACCGTAAAAATAAATCGAAATTATTCTAAAATTTATTCACGTTTTCAATAACGAATAAATAACGCATATAAGTATTCTTACAAATATTAATAATTACTTTGTAGAAATAATCGTTACAAGTAATTGAAGCAGGTTTGAATTTCAAGAGAACAGAATTTATATAATTTTATAACCAAGTTTTATAAAATGCTTTTTTCCTATCAATCTGACGTCATGTGCGACTATTCGCAAACTCACACACATGAATTCCTGAATTTTCAGCATTAACTTTATTAATACCCCCACCTTTCTATAATTGTCAAAAAAATGAGCGAATTTTAAGAAAAGAGTATAGAAGTACAATACATTTTATTTGCACCTTCGAAAATATATTTCATTTGTAATGTACATTCTTTAACTTTTGAACAGAAATATGTAAACAACGTGATTTTGTTATATTTTTGCATATACTAAATAGATTAATAAAAGCTTTTTTTTAATATATAATTTAATATATTTAATAACTGCGTTCATGATAATTCTATTTGTACTTTCATTAAAAAAATTAATTTTAACTAATTAATAGTAATTTGCATGTTGCGCGTACGTATTGAAATATCAACAACAAAAAAAAAAAAAAAAAAAAAAAAAAAAAAAAAAAAAATCTCGCTTGATTTGAAAATCACTGATTTTGTAATTACAGTAATACAAAAAAATAAGGATGAATAACAAAAAAACTTATTTGAAATATCTCACTTGAAAGATTTTATGAAATATGTAACATACCAATGTTTTTCTAACATTGTAATTTCATCCTATTTGCACGTTAAATGCTCCTCCACATCTTAAAGAACAACAAGTCAGAAAAATCATTATATTGGAAGCATTTATTCCTTAAATAATTACGCCCTGAGTCTTCCTAATTGTAATTTCATTTATATGTTTATTAATAGCCTTTACTCTTGTATATGCGGGCGTGCATGTGCGTAAGCAGAATTGTTACAGTTAGCAATGGCAGTAGTATTAGTGTAGTTTATACTTAGAATTAACATAAAATGTAGATCGAAATAACATATTACTAATGGCAAAAGAGACCGAAACCGTAGTTGAGTTTAAACCAAACCTTTTAAATATTTAAATTATAAGTTTTTAAATTTAAAATAAATTTATATATTAATTATATAAATTTATATTGTATTTTAATTGTCAATTCGTTAATCGTTTTCATGAAACTGAAACCCCAGCTACGATAACAAAATTTTATTACTATACTTGTTCGCAGTCTTTTAATTTAAATAACTAGATAGCCAAATTTGTTATTAAAAATGTGATATTAAAATATTGATACAATTACACATAATTTGATAAGATAAATAACATATCTGTAGCACCTTCCCAATTACCATCGATAACGGAAAAATATTGTTTACATCGCCATGGGTCGACATTTAAAAATTTTTTGTTATATATTTTTAAAAAAATTTATGCTTATTACCGAAATCTCAATTGTAACATTCATTACCTTCACTGGTTATTTAATGATTCCACTTTCACTGATTACCACTCTGGTAATGGAATCAGTTCGATGAATTCAATTAACCTTCGATGTCTACCTTTATACGTATAAAAATATTTTTTATATTTAATTCACTATAAATATATATGAATAATTTAAAGAATAATTTAAAAAATAATTTAGATAAATAATAGACAGAATCTTTATTTATATAAAAAATATTTTACTCTATTGCGTTAATAAAGCTTATCACGCGTTTCTGTACTCTTTCTTATTTTCTTATTTAATATTGATTTTGTAAAAGTCATTAATTTTATTTTTAAAAAATGAATAAAAATATGCGAATGATGAAAGTTATATAATCATGCATAATAACCAAATTTCTAACAATTGTTAATTCTCATATTATATTCATTAAACCCATTGGTAGTTCAAAAGATATCAATGTATTTTTACTTCTAGTTAATATAGCTTCTTTCGTTTAGCCAAATATTTTAAAATTGAATATACACGGATGAATCTATTTAAATTTATATATACGATAGACGTGAATTTAAATCACGTGAAACGCGTAAAAATTTTGCACTTGTCATCTTCTTTCTCTAGTTACACGTATACCTTAAAATACTTCATTTATAAGAAAAAATCCATTTTTTTGCAAATTGAAGTATAATATATATATATAATAAATATGTGTTTCAGTCCAGTAGTGTGCACATTTATATTTAAAAGCGATAAAAATAACGACGCAAAGCACAGTTAAAAAAAAGTCAATCGAAAAGCTGGGAATGGAAACTAGACAACAAGTAAGAAAAAAGTCACATAAGAGATATTTTGTACAACGTGGTACCAGCAAAAATCCATAAATCATAAAGTTTCCAGAAAGTAAGAAAAACAAAATATATATATTTGTCGTCCAGGCCTTCCTGGTGAATTCGAATCAATCACTGATCAGCGCTTCATTAAATTTTATTAAATCTCAATCACTCGGTTAATTCATAATAACGTAGGGCAAAAGGTACCATTAATACCATTAAAAATTAACGATTCTAACACACATATGTAGTATATTAATTTTAATATACTAATTTTATTAGCAAAACTTCTTATTAAAATTATCTAAAAGCACTTATATTGTGAAACAGAGAGTATTATCAATTGTCTTAAACTTTATTCTTTAATCTTCTAAAATAATCAGTTTTACTGCTTCAACGAGTAGACCCGGACCCTTCAAATCTCCTTGGATCTGGCAAACACGCACCCAGTCAGTCTTTTTCTGACTACTGCAAAGTAAAAAAGGACAAAGCGCATAATATTTCGTTTATGATATTGGGAAAATGAACGCCGGTTTGTAACGATATTGTCAAATATATAACCGTGAAAATTGTTAGCGCCTAGTCTGGGCAAAAATTTATATCCACATAAGCTATTCAAGGTCTCACACCGAATGTTAATCCTCTGCTTACACCGATTGTCCGGGCCAACATGCGCCCGCGCGCGCGCGCGCACGAACGCACATGCGCATATATATATATACATATATATAGATATGTTTATATATGAACACGCGCGCGCGCATTCACAGAGACAATACTAAGTTCAAAGTAATGGGTTGTATTATAAAAGTATTAAAAATGTCACGCTAATAATAAACGTACGGCGCAAAAAACTTAAGTAAAGTCTAGGTGAAAAATAAATCCCAAAAAGTACCATGGCTACGGCTTATATAAAGGATGAACAAGGTAATCTCGCGTCTGTCAAACATATCATGTAGCGGGTGCGTTTCTATTTATAACCTCAAAACGAGGTAAACAACTCGCCGTTTTTTCTTTCATAACCGAATGAGTTCAACACAGCGAATCAAGAGTTGTATATTTTTGTAAAATTTAGCAAAATTATTTGATCAAAGTACTCTAAATGTTTAAAATTTTTATCAAGTCATATTACGTCAATAATAACAATGATTAATTTTAACATTTATCATAATAAATAAATTTTTTATTATTTGTTGAATATATAGTTAAAAGTTTTTTCAATTTATAGTTTAATTTAATTTATTATAAAATAAATTGTCATCAATATCATGAGATGTTAAAATAATATATTGCAGATTTATTTTATAAGATTGTATATAAATAACTTAAAGCTATTATTAACTTCATTATTCAAGATTAGACGGTAGTCGTGAATGAATATTTTGTACGTAACGTAAAATATACAAAGTCAAACTAACTTCAAATTGAATCGATTGCTTTTAATAATACAAATCATTAAAAGTATATCTTTACTTCTTGGATAATCTAATATAAGAAAATATTAATAAAACGATTCTCTCTGTTCTTTTGAGAAGGTACCTTTATACCCGCCAGTCAACGACCAGATGGGACTTGGAGGAAACCTAGAAGAGTAAAAGATGGTTATGTGCCCCAAGAAGAAGTACCATTGTTAGTATTGAATAATATGAAATTATAAATCGTTTTGGATTTTGCCTGCATGCTTACGATTTACGATAAAATTAATTAAATGAAATTAGTAAGCTACAGCAATGATTGGCCAGCTGTAAAATAATCATTAAATTTTTATGAATATTTGACTTAATCAACTTTTAAAACTAAAATATGCTAGCAATTGTTTTAATTTTTATATATTTTTTTATGCAATTTAAGAACTGAAAATTAGACTGCCCTTCAATTTTCTTTTAATATTTAATATCCAGATATGTCTTACGGATGCAAATTAATTTTGTTTATTTTTAAATAGGTATGAAAGTAAAGGAAAGCAATTTGTAAAGAATAAACCAACATATCCTATTGGTATGTCTGCGGAATACGTAGCAGCTCACAATGCAAAAAGAGATATGGAAGCAGCCAAGTCAAAATCGATTCCAGGTCTTGTTATAGCAACCGAAACGAAGAAAAAGAAGAAGAAGAACAAAAATAAAGGAGTTGCTTCCCTTGCAGAAGATCTCAGCAAAACTGCAATATCAGAGCAGTCAGCATCTGTAAAAAAACAACGATCTGCGAATGAAAAATCTAAATTCACCAACAAACCAACTAGCAACGAAACGCCAAATAAACAAATATCAACAATGGATCCTTTAAAAAGGTTAAAAAATCTCAGAAAAAAAATTAGAGAAATTGAATCGCTAGAAAAGAAAATTGATAATGGAGAAATCAAAAATCCTGATAAAGAAATGCTCGATAAGGTATTGAGAAAAGTTGAAATCCAACAAGAAATCAAGCAACTTGAAGCTAATCAATAATTATAATGCTTCATATTGGAGCTTTTATAAAAAATAGATTTTGTGTCACTTAAATTTTTGACCAACGATAAGAAATGAACGGTGGTGCATCAAAATCTACTGTTATAATGTGTGATTTTACTGAATATATACTTTTTACATTGTATTTATTTAATAAGTAGATTAACTACTTAAGTCATATTGATATGTATAAATTTATTTCTAAAAAGTAAAAAGAAAAAAAGCTAATATCATAAATATTGCAGTATCATTCGCGTTTATTCAATTTTTCGGAATCAAATTTATAGAATTATCAAAGTTTATTTAACCGATTAAAATATGAACATATTTCACAGAAACGAAGTTCAGAATAATATTTAATTCCTATACGATTATGAAATAAATAAACAAAATTAACTCTTACATTTACAATAAATATGTAGTTGCTTTTATAAAATGTAAAAACAATACGTAAATAATAATAAAAAGGCTTACATTTATTTTTAAATTATAATGTTGTTTTATTCCAATTATTTTTTAATCTCTATGTTTTAAAAAACAATTTAAGTATTATGACAAAAACAAAACAAACATTTACCATTAACAAATGAACAACATTGATTTTGTCAATATATTCAAGTTGTTAAATAAAATAGAAAAATTTATGACTTTTTATTTTAATTTTACTTTGTAAACTTATTTAACAAAGGTGAAATGTTTACCTGCTGCTGTATTAAATTGTATGCTGTTATTTTATTTACAATTTTGATAATTGTGTTTGTGGCAACAGTATATATCCAAAATCCAAAATTATTAAAGAATGTTGAGAAACATATAAAGCATAATATTCCAGAGAAAACCGAAACAAGTAAAATTCATCTTTTACATATGATTAATCATAATCTCTCTAACTACATAAATATTTTTATAATTTGTAAAAATTTATAAAATACAATTGTTCATATTTAGTCAATGTTTCTTTATTATTTATGAAATAAATGAAAAAAATATCTTAAATATCAGAAAACATTTATATAAAACTTTTATTTTAATATCGGTTTCGATTAGAAAATCACGCAAATTTCAAAATCATTTCACGATAGTTAAAGTTCGTACATAAATCGATTTTATTACTTGAACCAGCGATACATAATACTTTTTGTGGCTGCTCTTGATAAATTACACTATAGACTGTATTACTAGAAACTGGGACTTTAGCTAATGACACTCCTTGATACGTTAAATGATAGAGATATGGCATTGCACCACCAGCAATAATTCTCTCCTCATAAATATCCGCAACATGGATCCCGTCATCGGGAAGATCAAAAACCATAGCTACTTCCATTGTTCGCGTATGCCATAAAGATAATCTTGGCCCACCACCGCAAAGCTGAAAAGCAAAATTCATAAATTACATACCAATTATTGTAATATACTATGGTGTAAAATAAAAATCTTTTCTTTTTTTTCTTAAAATCACTAATAATTTTTTCCATTCTAATCTATCATTAATTACATGGTTTGAATACAGCCGATTGAAATAATAACGATATTAAAATAATACAAAAATACTTATTATTTACTTAAGATTTTACACAATACATAATAACAATACGTACTAGCCAATCATCTGTAGAATCCACAGCACCAATCCACTTGCCAATTCTTGGTCTTGCTACCTTATCATCTAAATAAGGATGTAAAATGTTTGTATTTTCTTTATTACGAAGATCCCATAATCGAACTGTTCCATCCTCCCCTCCGGACACTAATTGTCTGCCTCTATAAATTGCAAAAAAATTTCATCAATTTCAGTATTAAATAAGTAGAACACTAAATAAATAAGATACGCACGATAATGCAATATTATGAATGAAGCCGGTATGCCCACTCAAGCTACTCGATATTTTTCCATTTTCTAGATTAATAATGTGAATTTGATTGTCCCCCGATCCGGCATAAATGACATTATTTTCTTTTGAATATATCATACAATTGACATCCGATTTCTCAAGACTGTCTCTAAAATAAAAATATAATTTTCATTGTGCATAATTATATTAATTTTTAATAATTGTAAGTGTTGGAATTAATTATAATAATGAACTGTTACTTTTTAGATGGGATTTGAATTACCCAGGAAGGTTTAATTTTTGAACACTTTGATGAAGTAACTATTTTCCAGTCCCATCCTGCAATTTCCCCACAAGTACCAGTGACTAAAAAATTATTAGTTGTTACAATACTTTGTACTTGTTGATCGGAATGTGGCTTAAATTGATATGTCGGCCCTAATAATTCCTCATTATCAGTTTGACGAGGACCAAGTGCTAATGATAAACTGTTAAAAAAATATATATTTCGAAAGATTTTTTAAGAATACAAATAAATATATCAATATTTACTCATAAACTGATACATCTCCATATATATTCCCTGCTAATAAATATCGACTGTCTGGTGAAAATGCTTGACACAACACAGTATTATAAAACAATTTTGCATTTAAATTTTCTGTCATTGTTCGTTTATTTCAAATAGATGTAAAAATTAAAATTATTTATAATCTTTAGCGTTAAATGATTTAAAAATAAATTATATGAATTATAACAAATTTATAATAGTGTTTTATTGCATCGTTCATCGATTATATAAAAATATTTATCAAACATTATAGTTTTAAGGTTAGACAATACAACAATGCAATGGCGAAGGTATATAATAAATGTAAACCGGCATCGATGAACGTATGGTTGATTAAACGCTTTAAATTTAAATATTTTAAACCATTTATTAATAGCACTCGAAAAAATTAAAAAACAAACATTAAAAAAATGGATGTTTACTTAAAAAATATGAATTATTTATCCAAAGCTGATAATCATTCGTAATATGATATCATTCGATAATAAAATAAAATAAATTTAAATATGGAATAAGTAAAGAAATTTTTTAAATAAACAATAAATTAAAATAAATGACATAAATGAAGAGCAATTAATTTTAAAAAGTAAAAAACTGCATTGACGTAAATAAAAGATCGTAAATAAATATTAAAAAATCACTAGTTTAGCCTCGGATTATTACTTATTATAATTTCTTTTTATACAGTTTTAAATAAATCCTTATTAATAAATGTTCAATTTTCCTTAATCTCACTCTAATAAGCTAATACTGATGTAAATATCAAAAATATCCAAAAAATATGATTGTAAAAAACTAATAAAAGCAAATTATTAATTTTATTATTTATTTATTTATATATTATTATTATTGTTGTTGTTGTTGTTGTTGTCGTTGTTATTGTTGTTGTTGTTGTTGCTGTTGTTGTTATTATTATTTTACTATTAATGAAAAATCTTTATTGTATATTAAAGAAAATTGACGATCTTTATCTACATATTAAAATGTCTATAAACCGATTGAAATTAACGTGAAGAAAATTTTTCTTTTGATGCAACAGAATACTTAATCATCATCAATATCTAACTCGTCACTTTACAGGTTTTAACAAAAGTATAACAGTTATAATCGACACAAAATTATGCGTACGTTCAAATTTTATTTTGAAATAAAAAAAATTTTATAATTATGAATAATTGTAATTGGATAATTTGAAATTGTTTGAATTAACCTTAACTTACTATATTGTATTACAGATGTGCATAAAACGTAGATTAACAGTGTCTTTTATAGCCGAAACATAAGCTTTACGTGTTATTATCTTGTTAATTGAATAAATAAAAATACATTATTCAAAATGTCGTATATGTTATCACATCTTCACAATGGATGGCAAGTGGATCAAGCAATTTTATCGGAAGAAGACCGAGTTGTGGTAATATAACCTGAAAGCTAATTGCAATCAATCTATTAATAACCGATTATATGGTTAATCCTAAATATAAACAGTGGCTTATTTAATGCTTTATAATTTATATTTTCATCATAAGCAATATATCGATTGTATTTTGGCATTAAATATTTTAGGTAATACGATTTGGACACGATTGGGATCCAATGTGTATGAAGATGGATGAAGTACTGTATAATATTGCTGAAAAAGTAAAAAATTTTGCAGTCATTTATCTGGTAGATATTACAGAAGTGCCTGACTTTAATAAAATGTATGAATTATACGATCCTTGTACAGTTATGTTCTTCTTTAGAAATAAACATATCATGATTGATTTGGGTACTGGTAATAATAACAAAATTAATTGGACGTTAGAAGATAAACAAGAAATGATAGATATCATTGAGACAGTGTATCGAGGAGCTAGAAAGGGTAGAGGTTTAGTAGTTTCACCAAAAGACTATTCAACAAAGTATCGATATTAATTTTTATTTTATAAATTTTTAAAATAACTTGTAATATATAATTGTTTTATGTTAAAACAAAATTATGACAAATTATTGATTAATTTAGTAATATAAGTATATTTAAAATAAATGGTACATAGTGGAATAAAACAGTTAGTTTAAGAAATATTTAAAAGAAAAGCCAACGGTAAACCTTTGTAAAGTGTAGTTAAATATTTTTTATTATATATAAATATATTTTTTCCATGTAGCATTAAGTCTACGAATAAAACTATAATTTTATTTATTCATTAACTTATTGGTTATTGTTTAAAAAATTAATATCAATTTGAAAAATTCTAGAAATCTTAAAGTCATATATATTGTTCAGAAAAATAAAAAGCTTTATAATAATAAAAAACTTATAAACAAGTCGTTATAAATGTATTTGTTTTTATTTGATTAGAAATGTATATCTTAAAGCAAATTAGGAATTTCAAACAATCGAATAAACATCCGATAGTTTAAAACTTTTATAGTTAAAAAAAATTCAGCTCCCTAAGTACTAAGTAACAATTTTTACATAGTAATGACCATAATAATTCGAGATAAAAATTATTTATAATATTGATAAAATTGATTTACCTAGTTTGCTTATATAGTTCATAAAATTCAAAACCTAAACTTATTTCCAATTCATCCACCATAAATATTGCATATCTTAAATAAAAAGCAGAAAATATATTACTTTCATCGTAGCTTCTCTAGGAGGAAGATGCATGTGTTTGTAAAATAAGAAATTATTTTAATCTTTGTATAAGTTTATTTAAAATTCTTGTTATTATTCTCTTGTAGAAGCAAAGTCATTATCAGGCCAGCCTGACTAACAATGACTCCCATACGATATCGTACAATACAAGTCTTTTAAATATTTTAAAAACAATAATTTAATGAGATTACAAAAGAAAATGCGATACTTCAATTTAACGCGTAATACAATTATTTCAATGCACGTCGACTTCTCATTCTCATTATTAGGTACAAGATGCTAATGCTATTAATAATATCAAACTTTTTATGATAGCGTATTAAGACAGGCGTGGAGATCTGACAACTGATTCGTCCAAAAATCTGGTAGAATTGAACTATTTGAATTCTTTAAAACTTCAAGATCCTCTTGACTTGTTATCCCTGACAAAACCATCAGCGTCAAATAACCACAACGTTTACCAAGCAGAATATCTGTGTTCAAGCTGTAATAATGTAAAATATTTCGATTATACTCATCAATTAGATGTAAATAATAAAAAAACATTAGAAAAATTACTATTGAAAGGAAAGATAATATTACTATTGCATATATTCGAATATAACACAAATTTACATTCATGAATTTCTAAAGAAACGAATTGAAATTTTCTTAAATCTCGACAGTTGGCAAAAATAAAATTTTGTCAAATACTCAAATAAAAATTACTATGCAAATGGCCAATGATGGCAAATAATTTAATCTTTCATAATCCAACTCCATTCTTACACATTCAGTTTCCATATATTCAATTTAAGCAATTTAAGATATTATAATCATTATCTGTATTTAAAAAACTCACTTATCTCCAATCATTAAAGTTCGAGACGGATTAACGTGAAACTTTTGCTTTATAATTTCGCTAATGAATGTCTCCGGTTTGCCTAAAATTACAGCTTTTTTTCCAGCGGCAGCCTCAATGGCAAGTAGAAAACACCCAGCGCCTAGATAACGCAAGATTGCAACGTTGCTTGTATAATGCATGATTAAAAATATTGAGATATAGTAGGAAATTAATATTAATTAAGAAATGGCTAATTTATTAATAAATAATGCTAACCAATACTTTCGTATGTGTATATATAATAATTTAATTTTTAAATGGCCAATAACAAACATTATTCTGTAATCCATTAATTTATAATATTTTTGATTCAATTATTGATAATTAACAAAAAATAGTAATGTCAAAGAGATATGGTATCTTCGAGTTTAGAAGATTCAAATAAAAATTACATTAATATCGAATCATTTATTATGCGTGGATGGCTGCTGTAGGTGGAATATACATATTTTTAAAATCATTCTACTTATTTATATCAGTAATTATTCGATAGGGATCTATGATCAGCATTACGATTTACCTGGATAACGGGTTTTATATGGCGAAGGCCTCTGGAGATCCGGATTTGTGCCGAGAAAATGAACCCCGGGCATTTGAGCATAAGTCGCAGCCTTGACCAGCTTCGGATAGCTAAAATGCTTATCGAAACCTACGATAACAGCACCAACATCTGGATCAGGTTCAAAAGACTTGTGTATATCTAATTCATTACCTATCATTACATCCGGCTGAAAGTATATTTTATGTATTAGAACAATCGATAATCGCTATGTGCACGTTATATTACGTTATACATTTTTAAAGTAATAATTTGATTTTAAATATAAAATTTTTTTAAATGCTCTTCGTTTAGTCTTTAACCAAACGAATAATATTAAGTTCGTTATAATAATACGCACTCCAACACCGAAATGCTTAATACCCTGAGCGTCTAATTCTTGAGCAATTCCTTCACTCCCAACAATATAAACTTTCTTTTGAAAATTTTTCTCTTTTAAATAAACAGCTGCCAAATATGAAGTACAAAGAATTTCTTCCTGTAAAGAAATATAAAAATATAAAAATCCTGTAAAAATATACGAAAGATTGAAGTTTAAATACTAAAATACTTTAATATTCTTTTCTTATTGTTAAGAGGAAACAGAAGACCAATGTTGTTTGTTTGTTTGGTTGTTTTTTTTTTTTTTTTTTTTTTTTTTGTTTTTTCTAATATCGTAAATTACATTTTTCCCAATGCTAATAATAAGGAAAGGAAGTAATTAAAATTGTACACCGATAAACAATCATGATAATATTATTTATCGATTATAAACATCAAAATGATAAGGATGTTATAAGGTGGTGTTATAAATAAAAATTTATATTGAAAATTCAAAATTATGGGAAACAAGACAAAAATCACGCTTCTTAAATCTATAATTGTAAAGCGTCGATGAAACTTACCGTCACGGCATTATAACCGAAATTTTTGCACTTTTTGACAAGTTCTAATCTCGTATTACCATTGTTGTTCGTAACGAAGAAAAATTTTTTTCCCAATTGCTTTAACTTATTAACCGCTTCGGGTGAACCGTTTATTACATCAGTTTCTCTCCATAATACACCTTAATACAAAGAATTTTTATTTTAATATTTACCATAATTATGGAAGTTTATAGGCTTATAATTAAAACGTCCTTTCTATTTCCATTTAAATTCACATTTTTAATTTTATTATATTCGTTCGGTGTACGTATAAAGATACATAAAAAGCACGCAAATGAAGGAAACCGAGGCTTATTGAGTTGTAAAATAACCTCTGACCTCTTGTTAACTTAAACAATAATATTTTTAAAATATATAAATTCTTATTAATAAGTAATAAGTTTCATAAGGAATTATGAATTCTTGAAAAATATAAATGAAATATTGAAAATTTAATTCCAACAATAATTTATTATTTACAGTTGGATTAATAAATAAATTTACGTATTATAATTTAATATGGTTGTTCTGGATGTTAAGAACGATATCGAAATAAGATGAATCCTTATATGAAAATTCAAGCATTAAAAAATATCTCTAATCTATCGAGTTCTTAGTTAATGTTTTATCATAAAATCATAAAACTATCGTTGTTAAATATTATTAATATTAGTGATCATGACATTCGACAGTTCCCTTCTAATGAACAAGAATAATAATTTTCATATGTATTATTAATATCGACAACTCTTTTTATTATCTAATTATATCATAAATAAATAATGAAAAACAAATTATAAAAATAGATTATTAATTTTAATAATTGTATCTTTAAAGCTTGAATAGATTTTCTCCACTACACGATTAAAAAATTCATACTATTCTGATATATATGATTACATTTTACATAAATAATTAGTGTTATCTGACTACTCTTTTAAATAATATTGAATTGAATTAAATATATATATATATATATATATATATATATATATATATCTTTCTCCTTTTTCTTTATAAATATATATGTAAAATTAAGTTAATTCATTTGATCATTTTTATTATTTCTTTATTCTATTTCATATATGTAAAATCAAGATATATTTAAATATAATTTATTAAATATAACGTAAGAATAAAAAGAAGAAAAAATGATTACTTATACTTATTAAAATAAATATTAACATTAAATTAAAACCGTTGCGTAATTGAAGGTAATTAAAATTTTTTTAAATATAATACGTAGTTTTATCTACTTTACAAATATTTATATATTTCCAATATTTATAAATAATGATTATCTCCGCAGGTCTAATGAAATGCTTAAAGGTCGAAATATTAGAACATGTGAAATTATACAAAGGGATGAGAACACAACATATGAAAATGTGATTACGCAGCTAAACCAAGGTTACAGCAAAATTATTAATAACTGGATATTGTAATAATAGAAAATACGTTTATATTACTTAATAAATGTAATAAATAAAAACTCTTTTTAAAATTTAAAGAAAAAGATCAAAGTAAAATTAATTTGAAACAATAAATTTATACAAAATATATGAATAAAAATAATAATGGCCGAAAACTAAAAAAAAAAAAATCAAAGAATAAAAGTGGACATTACTTTCTCATTTAATTAATTTTATACTGATGAATATCAACGCAATGTATATACGGGTAAAAAAAAATAACAAAATTCTCATAAAACTTTATATAGAATTAATTGTACTTCGTGTTTCTTTTATCGATTGTGATATTTATTACTGCGTGGGTGGAGTATTATTATCATGGTATTACTGCATGAGATTTTTAAAATAAGAAATTGTAATAATCCTTTAGTAATGTTTTTAATAGAAAAATTGTATTATTATGATTATATTAAAACTTATAATTATAAAAAAGTATGTATTTATATACTTTGAATGATGATTTAATTTACAAAATATAATTACGTATATAATTAAATATATAATTCAATCCTAATATAATAGTCTAATCTCATATAATCCTTTATCGATTGATATATATATATATATATATAGAGAGAGAGAGAGAGAGAGAGAGGATATTACAAAATTAAAATTAAAATTTAATAATAATAAGGATAGAGAAGATTAATAAATATCATTTTAATTAGATTTAATTTTACCATTTTTATTTTTAATATTTTTCATAACAATTATCGTTTATATGTATATTGTTACTTATAAGCATTCAATTATTGCATTAAAGCAATTGTTTCGATCTATTAGACAAATAGTTTTAAAAAATGGCAAAATAAAGATTAATCTACTGTATTCGAGGAATTAAAAATAAATTATAATTATTCAGCATATATAATTTTATATTGCTTGTTTCATAATACGCAATAATGTTAATAAATGCATAAATGTAGAAAAATGTTATTAAGTAATGTTAATGAATGTTGACTCATCTAATTACTTAAATAAAAACTTAAAAATATTTTATTAATTATCCTTCTTGCTTTATTACCACATTCTTCATGATCTTAAAACTTGTTGATATAATTCAATATCAATATTACTGTACATCTATATAATAATTATATATAATTTTCATTAATCAATGAAAAGGCAATTAAATGATAATAGTTAATTATGTAATAACTCTTCGAATCGACGTTACAAATACAATGATAGTTTTGTAATAACAAAATTTGTATAATATTATTATAAGTCATACATTCGAAGAGCCACACCTTTTTAACATTTATATTTCAAATTAGAAATTTCTTTATTACTATTAATCATTTTATTAATTTCATTTAAAAAGACTTTTGTAAAATTACGTTTAATTACGTAAAGATAATTAATACTGCTAATATTGTTATATTATTTATAATAACGCAAATTTTCATTCTAAGATACGACATAAAAATATAAATATTAAAATTATAAAAATAGGATAGAAATTAAAGTTTTATAAACATAATTATTGGTCAATGAATTAAGTGACAGTGTATAATGCCAAGGTTACAACTATCCGGTAAGGAATTGTAACTTTCAAGCTCCCCTCGCTCTCTATTTAATTTGATCAAAAAAAAAAAAAAAAAAAAAAAAAAAAAAAAAAAAAAAAAAAAAAAAAATATGCATACTAAGATATACGTGCATATTTATCATAAAGTTCATAATAGTGAGAATTTTCACTTTATTTAAAATAAACTTTGAGGTTATAGACCTGTGGTATTATTGGATTGTAGTGATGGAAGTAAGAAACAAAAGAAAAATTACATAATTGAGAAAGATTTGAAGGTCTTACTACGGTTTAAAGCTCATCAACGGCTCAAACGTCCGCATGCTTATAAAAGAACGAACTCGATAAACGCATACACGTACACATAAACAATTGACAGAAATTTTCAAATTGTTATTTACAATTCATACGCACCGTCACAGTCAGACAAAACGATGTCGAAGGACTCGAGGAACTTCTCCATATTTTGTTTATCCAAGCTTTTTAAATCAACAGCAGCCATTCTTCGATGGTTATGCAAACCGTAAATACATTAAACTCTACAACCGCGACTGAAACTAATCGCCGACACAACTGCTGCAACGAAGGCATAATACACTCACGCTAGCGCATTAAATACTTCAATTTCCCGCGCACATTCAAATTGATTGGGATTGGCTTTAAGGCACGCACTCGACACATGATGCTAATGACCTTCGTTACGCAAGCGTAAGACAATATCAGCAGGTACATGCGCGACTGTTGCGCGCGGAGGCGTGCGTACGCGAATCAAGAGCAATCTAACACATTCATTAATGAGGAAAGTAACCGACCTTTCCCCCGCCCCCCTGCATCCCATCGCAATCGACATATTATATGTATTATGCGGAAGCTCTTTACGAGGCGCACAGCTGACTCTATTGGTATGTAACATCGTTATGAGATTTATATGACTTGCATAGACGAAGTTTATTTTGTGGATAATTTTACGACTGCAATCATCAAGAGACCGTTAATAAACAATAATCGTTGGATAATTGATACATCATTCGCTATTCATATGTCATACATACGTCGTGCTTGCTTAAGTTTTCACATATTTCATCGACCATGTCAGGCTTGATTGACTCAATCAATCAACTTGATAAATATATCTATATGAAATTCCGCGAGGGCACACATACGTCACTTTTTTTTCTTTTAGTCACATAATAGTAATACGAATTTGTTACTTTAATATAATAAGATTAATTAATATAAGCTGATTTTATAAAGCTGCAATTATGACTAAAAATCGTATTTAAAATTTTAATCGTTACATTAATCTCAAATAGAGAACTTTTGAAGGTGTAGGGTATAGTAATAAATCACTACATAATAATCTATCGTATTGATTGGCAACGAAATATGCTGAACAAAATATATCTTAATCTTTCCATAAATCGATGACTGAAAAGCTACAGTACATTGAACTAATAATATATTATCGATATTTTCATCTCAGTTACATGATTTATAAAAATAATTCTTAAAATTACAAATCTATTCAAAACATATTCCATCGTACTTACATGTTCGTAATAAAAATTTGTACTTTAAGATTTTTAAATGTGTAAATATATTCTATCTTAGTATGGATTTCTTTCTTACTCGGATAAGTTTAATCAGAAATTGAATCATTCTAGTTTTTCTATATTTCAATTCTAATTTTATTAGTTTACAGCAAGGCCAAATTAAATATGTGCATAAGACAATAACTATACACAAAAACAAAAAACAAAAAAAACTTAAATGTATGATTGAATCGTTTAAGCAAACAATTTTCTTATAATTCATTTCACACTAATTTTATTATATATACGATTAAAGATCATTAACACTGAACTCATAAAGTTGTTTTACCCATCATTTAAATAGATATATTAAATTAATATATGCATATAAAAATCTATACTTTACAAGATATTTTGTAAAAAAAATTTGTTAATCATAAACAAACAAATAATGTTATGTAATACATAAAAATATGAAAAATGATGCAACTCTCACAAAAAAAAAAACCATCAACTTTAATATTAAATAAAAGTTTATAAAAAATAGTATCAACGATATAATTTCGTTTCATTTTTCATTTTTCACTAGTTTTGCTTAAATAAAATAGCGCATGAATTTCATGGTATAACATTTTAATTCACCACGTCATTAAATCATTGACAGATGACAAATCAGTGTTTAAAAATGACTCAGTCAAAAATAATGTGTAGAAAAAAATATTTTCTAAACAATACATGTCATGTTTTCATTTTATAATATGATTTGTATAGTTATTTCCATTACAATGAAGTAAATTATTCCTTAAAGCTTAATAATCAACGCTATTATAGAATGAAAAATTTGAAGATGTATATCATTATATCATAAGGCGCATCTGCAAGATGAATTACATCATATAAGAATTCATTTTAAAAATTTACATTTAAAACTTTTTAAAATATGTTACAAGAATAATATTATCAAAATTTATATACGTTAAAAGTATACGATCGATTACAAATAAATTGTTATTCATCAAAAAATAATGTTTATAGATATATTTTAAAATCTTTTATAGAATTTCATTATGAATAATAATAATACATACTTTATGTAGATAGTAAATATAAATAATCTAAATCTCGTATGAATTTAACAGAATCCATTATGTTTTTTCTAACTTATCTTATGATTCATAATATTTGCGGTAAAGATTATATATTACAAACACAAAAAAATTGTATTTATCAAAATATACCAAAAATGGAATCATATGGTAAAAACGCCGATTTAAAAATTTATTGATACATCAATATAAAATTAGCGAAATTTTTTTTTCAAATATTATTTATATTATATTACAAAATATTTAATAAAAAGTATAAATATTTTAGATGAAAGACAAATAAATTACATTTAATTATAAATGGTATATTTAATTTTATAATTTATATATTTACTTAATACAGTTACAATAATACATTTTTGAAGTTATAATTAATCAAGAAAATCTCATTGTTTAAATAACAAAAAAAAAAACAATTTTTCTTTATGAAAAAACATCGCTATAAATCACAATATCAATCTATTAATACTTTAACGATTTTGCAATTATATTTAGATATACGTAACAATTATTTTATTAATAAGAGTTCAAAGAATCACAAATAAGTTTATAATTATTCGTAAATAATCGATTCTGTTCGGATGTATCATTTAAATGTATAATAAACCGTACATAATATAATATATATATATATATATATATATATATATGCAATTAATTTACAATTATTCTTCTTTGGTACAATTGCGAAATTACAAAAATTTTAAATATTAGCTTTTGAAATTTAAATAACTTTAATAAATAATATTTCTTTGCACCGAAATGTCTATTTGTGTTAATATTGATGTAATTATAAATATTTAAATTTTAAAATAAAGCATTTGCTCTATTAACGTAAAAGGTTCTAAGTAAAAAAATTCACTTTAAAAATCTGTTTTTAAAAAAGAAAAACTTTAATATACACCTGTATTAATATATAATTTAGGTTAGCTTAATTTTTCAAATTCTTTCTATATTTAATTTTAAAAGAAATTCTACTTATATTTAAAATATGAAAGGATCAAATTAAAATTTTCCATTTTACTGTTGTAATATTCGTTATTATTTAAAATTTTACATATTTCTTACAAATATATATACAAAATCGAACTTTTAATTTAAATTTGTACAGTAAATTGTTTTGTTAAAAAAAATATTTCAAGCATTTCATGAACAATACAATGACACATAATTCTATAACAAATTTTATAAACATTATCATGTTTCATTACGTTATAGCCTTACAATCTTTGAATATTATAATATTGGATATTAGTAAAATATACATCAATTTTTTATTGTGTATTAATAAACATATATTATCAATACACAATAATATACAATAATATAATATTACAATTATATAAAATATATAATTTTAATTTTTAACTCCTTCGACTAAATAATAATAGATAATTAATTAATTAATTATTTAGATTCTAACATAGTAAAATAGTTCGATTAGTTACTTCTCAATTATGATTTTTAAAACGAAATATTTTTTTTACAATACCAAAAATAAAATGCAATTTTTAATTTAATTAAAATTTTTTTAGTCATCAAATGAATATGTCAATCTCACATTCGATTTATTATAAATAAGCATTACACGATTCCATAAGTTAGCATTTGATTTTAATTTTAATTTTATATTTTAGAAATTAATATAATTATAATTGTATACGTTTAAACTTTTACGCTCCCTTTCAGTATTTACAACTATCACATTTAAAATAGTTCTCATCCATCACCAGATTTTGTTATACAAAATTATTTTCATTTTCGATGTATTTATTTATCTGTATAACATAGAAAATATATTCGTTTGTAGTATTGATTATTTTTAAAGAATTGATTTAGTATTTACTAAAAGCTGATTGCAAAAATTAAATTCTTCATAAAATACATTTTATTAATATGTATTATATTTAAATTTTACTAATGACCCTGTACTTTATTGATTTGTTATAAATTCTTACAATTTGTACAATACATTTATTATTTACTAAATGACGATCTTCAAAATTATATTAAATTACAATTACAAATTTTTAAAAGTCTATTGAATATCTTAAAGTTAATATAAGATATTTGTAACAAATCGAATCAATATTTCAAAGATTCGAATAATACAATTTTACAATGCGAAATGCAATTTTGTTCAGATTTTAATAAAAATTTTATAACGAGAGCAACAAGCCTTTTTCTTATTAACAATTACATTATATAATTTGCTTTAGTTATAAACTCTTTACATCAAATATATAAAAGAAACAATTACAACAAATTGAAGATTATATTTTGAGAAGTAAAAGCTTTTAAGCTTGTTGAAAGACAAAATTATTTAACAGATTAAAATTAATATTACTCCAAACCGTTTAATGACTATAAGTTAACTGATTATATCGCATATAATGTATTTAGTTGCAATTTATATTGAAGCATTTAATTAAGATATTTTATTTAAAAAATAACTGTTGATAAAAAATGTAAATTATTTATTCAAACTATTTGACGCACTTGGGCAATCATTTATGTTTTATGAATCAATGATATGTGGATAAGTTACTCATATCTCTGAATTTAGAGCATATAAAAGCACCAGAATATGAACAGCAAATATTTTACGTAAAGTAAACTTTATAATCAAACAGCTATTTGCTGTTATAGTTTAAATTAAATAACAATCATTTTATAAAATAAGATATTTTATAAATAGAAATCATATAATTATGCAAATATTTTATTAAGATGTGCTCAACAAAGAATCTCGTGAGAGCTTTAGTAAATGAGGGAAGTTAATACAATACTCATTACCAAAGTTAGTTCGATGAAGAATGTCTAACATGAATTCAAGAAAAATTACAAATCTTAAATGTAGGTAAATTGAAATTAAAGAGCTGACTGCAGCTTTCGACGGTATTGAGCATTGGACGTATGTCATTCTACTCTCGGTGGGATTAATAAGTTGTTAACAAGCCATTTATAGTAGATATGAAAGAATATGAAAGAAATTAAATTATACGGTAATTTAAGCTATAATTTTCTTTAGAAAATGTAATATATACAGGCAGTATCCTATGAAGTTGCATCGATATTAGTAAAATGCTTGTTGTTTAATTCATGCTCTAAGTGATACAGATTCTTATATTATAATAATAATAATAATCCATTTTCACATTGGTACATTATATATTATAGGAACACCAAGAGCAGACTATAATGTCTTTCAGAGCAAGCATTTTATAATACGACTATCTACTTATGTCAACGCCATTCTCACCAATACACCATTAGCAGATTCCAGTTTCTAATAATAAAATACAGTCTTATACATACTTCAACATAAGTTTTTATGTCTGTAAAATAAGACAAGCTAAAATTATTTATAAGGCACAGAGCTAAACACAGCTGTCGTTTCTAGCAAGAAATGCTAGAGATTGCTAGAAGAATAGACGATAATGCATTAAATTAGACTTGATAAGCAAGAAAACTAAAACAAGAGGCTACTGAAAGAGAAATATAAATAAAAAAACAAAACATGGAGAAAATATAGCCAGTGGGCATTTTAGGAAAATACAAAGATCTAAAATATCAGCAAAAATGCAGTCTATTGATTGTCTTTAATTGAATTTCATAAGAACTTTATAAGAATAAGTATTGTGAGTATTTAATCTGGGAGTAAAGTATGAAGATATAGTTATATATAAAATAAATAAAAAGAACCTAATAATCATAATAAACGTTTTATTAAAAATAAAGTAAAAGAACTGAATAAGTTATAAGATATATAAATAAATTTTAAAGAAAAAGGCAAAATAAGCTGAAGATAAAGGTAATGGAGTATAACTAAATTAAAAGTGAAATTAGTTATTATAATATAGTAATAATATACTTGTTGTACCTATGAGCATTCGATCAATCGTAAATACATAGGTCGTAACATTACCACAAAATAATTTTCTCTTATTACGTTAAAATCGGTAGTCTCAATATGATGGCACTTAGGTGTTTATTTTTCATTCGTAGCCGTTTCTAAAATCGCTTAACATACTTAACATTACCGTTGTAATATTTATTTACAACTATCATTGTTCAAATTATATCACGTTTATATATTTATTGATTATATGATCGTTCGTTCTATAACGAAGTGTCCTTTTCAACAGAATCTGAAATATGAAATAGAATATTAGCTACATAAAAATACAAAAGACATATTTTCATAAAAGTAATTAATAATTAACCATTTGTCAAATAATAACTACTGCCGGCAATCGTTTGACTTGAGCTTGGTCGGATCAGTGGTTCAACGTTTTCGTATAAAGAACTAGACGAGCTCTTTAAATCATTGTCGTCTATACTTTCTTTACTGGTTGAAAAAGAATCTTTCCCTGATTCACAAATCGCATAACCTTCGCTATGATATTTTCCTAAAATAGAAACGTAATGATAATAAATAAAAATGTTCTGTTATTAATCAGTTACGTTTAAATCATAATTCATACCCATTCGATTATGATTTGATCTTGTGTCAATTGCACTTGTTGATTTACAATATCTTAAACCTGCAAACAAAACTATTTTAACTGTGTATTAATCTTACTATTCGTAATAAAAATTCTAATTAAGAAAATGATAAAATTATAAAAATACCGTTCATTTGGATTTTTGGAGTCGTTGGAGGTGATGACTGACACAGAGGTTGCATTGAGTCAACAGAAGTAGATAAACTATTTTTTCTAACTGAAAGTTTAAAATATTATTCCTAAATTATAATAATAAATATGATATTTACATTTTTTAGAAAATGTATTAAATCCCATTAAAACATGTAGAAGCTAAAAAAGCAGAATCGACAAAACATTTACAAGCAGCGGTAGCAACGATATATTTTTATTAATTCCATACCTCGACTATTGTTAATAAGAAGTTTATCACTTGTAATCCACAAAAGTAATACAAGAATAGAAGAATGTTATGATTATATTTGTATAGTAGTTGTTAAATATTTGAGATAGTTATTTAATTGGTTAAGCTATGTTATAAAAGAAGAATCGATGAAATATTACATACGAGTATCAAAGCTGTCGACTAAATCTGTGCTAGAATCGCTTTTATCTTTCTTTATCTTCACTTTGGAGTATATTGGATCAATAGGTGGTGGTTTATCTAGCAAATAAAATAATTATTATAGAATCATTTCAACATTAATATTGCGAATTAAACTATTTAGAAGCTTTTCTAAAATACATACATGATTTTAAGAAATATGGATTCTTCAGCACTTGTCTAATGCAATTGTATATATAAGCATATTGACTCTGAAATATAATTTACGATTAATAATAATTTACATCAGTAATTGAAAATAAATTTACATAAATAAACCTACTTCGCGTTGCACCATATTTAAACGATGCCTTCTTAATCTGTAAACAGTTCCAAAAACATCCAGCTTACGATTATCCCTAATAGACTGGAGCAATATATCTATAGCAATAAGTGTTCCAGTTCTTCCAATTCCAGCACTAAAATTCAAATTTAATATACATTCATTATTTGGCTAACACTTCTTAATAAATTAACAAGGGCATTATTAGTAACACGAACCTGCAATGAATCACGGCTAATCCTTTAACCGATATAAATTGCTTACGAAATATTTGGCAGAAATGAATCATGGCATCGAAATCATCGGGAACATCATGATCAGGCCAATCTTTGAAATGAAGATGAGTTATTGTACGTACATGGTCATCCTAAAAATTAAAAATTTACTATATATAAATATCGTTTTCGTTTCTTTTAAACGGAAAAAAGAATGTTGATTTAATATAATGCCTACTTTTTGTAGGATCAAGGTACGCTGAGTAAATGTACGATAATCTAATTCGCTTGTGCATCTAATTGACAATTGTTCATAATTGAATGTTTCCCTAATCGTTGGAAAATACTGATGGCACTTTTCCTACACAGGAAACAACAAATTTTTGAAAATTGAATTTTTGAAAATCTCTAATTATTTACGTCTATATATAATACACATTAATCTTACTTTCCCCCGTTCTACTAATTGTGTAAGCATTAGAATCATTTTCACGTCATATTGGTCAATCATTCTCCAAAAATCGTACGTTGTATCTTCCTTAGGCCCTTGGCAGGCAATGTATTCTTCATTTCCAGAATATCCCTAGAAAAATAATTTTCCATTAGTAGGTGATAAAGGTAAATTAGTTGTTTGAGTGAAAAGCATATTTACCCGAATAAACGATGCATTTATATAATCCGTATTCGGATCATTGTCAATAATATCAAGTTTGACTCTCGAAAAGTCATCTGCAATAAAATTCGTTATAAGTAAAAAGGTTGTTATTAACGATTTAATGAAATCTTTGTAATAATCTTTATGCAAAATTGTAAAAGTATGTTCTCCAATAATAATTATAATTATTAATAGTATTATGTAATTATATTAACGAAAATATAACTTTTTATTATTAATTTATAATATGATAAATCTGATATCAAAAATTATAAACAGAAAAAAAAATAATACAACTTATATAATATTTAACAATAATTAGGAAATAGCAATTAAATTGATGAAATTATAATCCATTAATTGTGTACTTGATTGAAAAATATTCCGAAATACTATATAGAATCAAATTTATAAATTCAATTAATAATTGATTTTACATTCTATTCAATCACTCAATTACTCAAATATCGTAAGATCAGTTTTTTTATTTACTTGTTTGAAAAGTCTGGTCTAAAGTTGAGCAAAATTGTCTCATATTAGATAAAAATAATCTTGACTCGAATCTTTACTTATTGCATCAATGAATATATAAATAAAATAGTTTAAATAAAGCGAATGTTAGCTGAATATTATGAAAAGCGCTCTACTTAAATTGAACTTTTTATCAATGTCATCGGCATTTTACCGATAATTGTTATAAAACTAAACATATATATATATATATATATATATATAAATTATTTACATGGCAAAATATCGGAATAGCGGTTCTTTTTTCGATTTGCTTGCAGACATGCGGCATTGCTCGGCATTTGCAAATCGACGCTAAGAGTTTGCAGCAATTGAAATTCGTTGCTTAGTTTTCCAGGATTTTCGGCCATCTGCTGGCAATGGTTTATGAATTTTCTGCGTGTAAACGGATCTGGTACCGGTGATTCGGGTATATTTGATTGCAGAAATCTTTGTAATAAGCTGAAAATTCAACGAATAAATTGTAAATTTTATATTTATAGCAATGTCTCGTTAAAAAAAAAAGAAGAAAAAAACATTCGATATAATTTGCATAATTGTATTTAAATATGATCATTAAATTTTAATTCATATTTTTCATTGTATCACTTGTAAATATTATACTTCTATCGGTATGTATTGTATTTCTTAAACAGCTTCTCTGTAACAGCTTGTCTGTAGCTTCTCTGTGTCTAAACGAAAGCTCATTTATAAATCATAAAGAACACTTGACTCTACTTCCATGCACTGATGTTTAATATTTACAAGATCGTAATGCCATAAATGTACACGATTGTATAATCGATTAAACTTGTTTTAACCTTAACATTCAGTCGATTCCAATAAATGTATTCCTTTCAGTCAACGTATTCACAACAAAGTACAAGCGATTGAATTAATCTTGCTTCAAATAACATTTGGTTTTTTTCATTTAAACTAGATGAATTTATCTAGTCCCGGCAGCTTGGATATTGGAGAGAGAGAAAAAAAGAAGAAGCAGAAAAAAAGATTACGATAAAATTAAAGAAAAATTAAATAATTTATTGCTCATAAAATTCACAGCAACGATATTAAATAATTGCAAACGATCGATAAAATGCAAAAATCTATCCTCGCTTCCGTCATTTCGTCGGCGCTCGCTCGCTCGCTCGCGCCATTTGAAAAAAGAATCCAAATCAAAGCGAGCCGAACGGAAAACATTTTTATTTTTCATACATACTCTCTGGCGACGTGACTGAAAGGATCGCGAAACATACCTCCGATGCCCCAGCTCGCTCCCATACATACACGCACGCACACCCACATGGGCGCCACCCACTCAAGCCCGCGCGCCCGCTCATTCAACGCATCGCGCTTTCCTTTTGCTCCGACGCTCGAATTTGTCATGCTCTCGAGTTCACCTTGGCTTCACGTGCTTAAAAATATCCATGATACGAAAATAGACCCTATCGCACGAGGTAGACGTTGCGGAGGTGGCCGGCAATCTGCCGAGACTTGACGACGGCTCGCCGCTGACTGCGGCCCGAGAGTCTCGGGAGCCTCGAAGCCGACCTCCTTCACTATAATGCCGCACATACATCATCCGCGCGGTCTATAGAGGCGCGCTATCTATCTCTCATGACTCACGGAATAAATATTGATCATTCGCTTTTTAACTTTTGTTTTTCTTTTTCATATCCTCGTCTTCTCCGCCGCCCTGCCCCCGTCGCGGCTCGGCTGACTCGTCGCGATAAACAATACTCACAGTCTAAAGGAACAGCGCCTCACGAGCAACATCAGCGTAGTCAGGATGCCGATAAACAGGATACCAAACACGACGCCCAGAACGAGGCCCACGTTAAGCTCGGCATCTGCAAGAATTGAAATTTAATGTATCAAACAGTCTGGATGACTGGAAATGATTGGAAATGACTGGAAATTTGCCTTCGTACTTTGTCGCTAGGCCAGCAGTGCATTCGTTGCATTATTAGACGAATTGCATTATTAGAATAATTGCGCTTTGTGTTTTATACGTTGTTCGGGCAATTCAGACCGAGCTTCTTACGGTCATTTGAATTTGTAATTTCTGTATAAAACAATAGATAAGGGTAATTGTCAACCGTACAGAGATAAACTATGCGCGCTTTATAAGTTCGTTTTTTTTTTTTTTTTTAATAAAATTATTAACTCCTATTATTTGGCTTGCGTTTTCAAAATTTAGGGCAAATGAATTAGAGTGGCGATAAGTTTATTTATATTAAGAGGAGTCGTGTTTAAAGCTGCGACCGGTAAATAATTACATGAAATCATAATTTAATGTAACATATTACAAATTCTAATATTTTACTATAAAATGCTGAATAATTCATAGCCTCTAAACATTTATAGCTCATCGGCTATGATTACTGGATAATATTTCCATTACGTTCGACACAAAAAATATTTTCTTAATACTGTTCTGCGCTTGTGCATAGAATTTTTTATTTCCCTTTCTTGAGATACTTGTACTTTTTGATACATTTTTTCTTGATATCGTTGCAAACGATCTTTAAAATATTTCTGCTACCGAGTTATTAATGTTCGCAGAATCTATTTGATTATTCAGCTGTTGTTTCATAATAAAACAAAGTTCTCAAAGTTTCATTAGAGTTATATTATTGCGGTCAATAAAAACATACTATAGTTTATTTCATCATTTCTAGCTAATTGAGCTTAAATTTTCTCAAAAAAAAAAAAAAATTAACTCCTTTTTCTCGAATAATGATGGTAATCGACAAAATGAGAATCAACAAAATATACTTTCAATCAAATAGCTTTTCGATACATTTCAAAGGCAAAAAATACAGTGTCCGTAAATTTTTTGCCTATGCATGTTATAACTACTCGTTTCATTATAAATCTTTTACAGAATAAATGTATCCTTAACCAAATAATTGTGTATACACTTTTTCCAAATATAAATAAGCAAATAATTTCCTACTTTGTTCTATTCTCTAGAATAATATGGATTTCATAAAAAAAAAAAAAAAAATAAAAAAAAAATAAAAAAAAAAACTATATTACTATTATAAATAGTATTTGTTAGGTATTCGGAAAATTTCATTATTTTGGAATAATACATGTATGATATTAAATGAACTCGTGGTTGTAACTTTGATTGAACTATATAATTGTTCGATACAACCTGGGAAGAAAAGCGTTTTCTATTTCGTAACGACAAAAGCACGTAGTAAAAGTATAAGAATAAAATGGTAGAAAAGCGTAATATGTGATATTTACTTGTTTTGATGGTAAAAGAGACTGAGTCGGCGTAACCCTTATCGGTAAAAGCTCGCATTCGTACTTCGTACCAAGTATCTGGCTTCAATGGTCCATTGCAGTAGGCTCGAGTTTTTGTATTTGACGAAACTTGTGGACATGTTGTATCTTCGCCAATTACAAATTTTACCGCTTTCATATGACCGTAATCGACTACGTAATTTGCTAGAAAGAAAAATTAACAAGTTCCTAATTACGAAGATGTTCGATTAGATTCAAAATAATAGAAGGCGCTATAAAAAAAAAGAGATATTATTAATTAATTGATACATCCATTCTTTTCTTCTTCATAAGAAGCTTTCATTTCATAAGCATTGCTTTCTTGATGCTGATAATAATCAACCTATAAGCTATTATCTACAAAGACATGGTAAAATCATTATATTGTGCTCGTAGACTTATTTATATCGATCAATTAAAAAAAATTATTTGTAAAGAATCGATACTTCTACGATTTTGTCGATTTTATTTACAAACACTTCAATCTAATATCAATATGAATTTCTTCTATATATAAAAAAAAAAAAAAAAAAAAAAACTATAATTATGTAATAAATGTAATTATATTATGGATAATTTAAAGCATCGCTATTTTAATTTCTTAAGCTTTTGCCATAAATGAATAAAAGATATTAACAATCTTCTAGCATTTTGACAAAATTACTAATTTAATTGAGAACATTTTGTGTTTGATAGATAAAATTAATATTATAAATAGAATAAAATGAGTGAGTTAACGCAAATTGAATGTGACACTTTGTTGAACATTTTTATGTCATTGACAAGGCGACAATTGACTATTTTGGAATGTTTCGCGTTAGTTAATGGTACAAAATAAAGTACCCGAAAATACGAGACGAGCTTCATCTATTTGACGCATATTTATAAAAGAAAACTATCGTTAAAAAAAAAAAAAAAAGAAGAAGACGATCAAAATTGTCCAAATGAGTAAATATACAAATATTCATTTCTAATGAATTTTAAAGAAATATCATTTTGATGATTAACTGAATAAACTAGTACTTACGAAAAGGATTCCATAATGGTTCGGTAGCTTGATACGGGATCTTAAAATCTTTTTCCATTGCTTCTTCCCAAGATGATACATTGGGCCACTTTTCTTCCTTAACGTCGAATCTAACCATCGTAGACAAATTACCAAAAGTTAAGCCAGATACCATGATGGCATAATACTTTATTTCGCCATTATCGGCGGAAAACAACGGAAGTAAAATAGCTGCTGTTGACGTAGTGCGCCGAGCCTTGTGCGGATCAAGAGTTATAGATTTCACGTATTCTATTTCAGGTTGCGGAGGAACTAGAAACGTATAAATACAAAACATTAACTTTAATAAAGTAATAATAATAATAGATAATTTGTACCCCAAAGGATTTGTACAATCGAGTGAAGAGCTTAATTGTTACGTACTTTCGATTTCATTAAACTATTCCGTTCCTATTTATTATTATTATACTCGAGATGCCGGCAATTATGATCATTAATGTAATTTACATTAATATTATAAATAGCAACAATTTTAATTGATTTTAATTTCATAATTGTAAGCATTTGAGCATTGCACTGTCCTAATTACATACTATCTTAATAATAACAACAACAACAACAACAAAATCCTTACTCCCAGCCGGATATAAAACAGTCAGATCATTTATTTCTCCAGATTCGGTAGAACCGCGCAGCGTTGCCGATACTTCAAATCTATAATTATACAAAGGCTTCAACTCTCCGAAATTTATACGGAAAATATCATTTTTCCTAAAATCTTCGGTCACGTTTACAACATCGACAATCGTGTGATTTTCCAGACCCGGTCGTGTACCATAAACGGAAACTTCAAAAAAGTGCAGAAGCCCTCTTAAGGAGCAAGGTAATCCCCAACTTAATTCTGTATCTAAAGCATTTGGATTATTTTCTTGACGTTTTATCGTACAGGTAAGATTAATAACTCCATCGGGTACTAAAGATAGATAAGAAAAAGTTAGATTTCTTAATATTAACAAAATAATGAAAGATTATTTCGATAAGAATAAGCTTGTTTTGACATAACGTACCTCCATCTGGTGTGCTATCAAATTCAAGTGCCATCTCTTGACTCCAACCTGCACCAGTTCTTGCCGCAATTTTTGTAAAATAATGCGAATAGGCTTCTTCGTTGGACAATGTTAATTTAGTCAGCATTGGATCTATATTATCGACAACAAAGGCTCTATTTAATTTGCATCCATCTGGTACCGGATAACGTGGATACCAAGTGAAATTAATTCTGTAATTTTGTAACTTTCCCGGCATGTATTTTGGAGCCTGCCATATGAATGACAGTTTTGAATTTTGATCTCTGTCGAGAGTTTGAAAGTTTTGAGGAGTCGATGGTTTGTCTTCGAGAGTTTGAATAGAAACGGACGAGCTCCAAGGACTTGGGCCACCTTCGTTAAGAATCTTAGCCTTACATAGGTAATTTGTAAATGGACTCAAACTTTTAACAGTCACCGACACATTCGTTGGACTCTGTCCACTCGGTATAGCGAGGGTTGCTGCTCCATTAAGTAACTCAAAACCACTGCCTTCGGTATGATTGTAATAACACTTACTAATTATTGACTTTAAAGAGCAGTTATTTTTTTTATTCAATACATTCCAAATCAAAGTCGTTGAATTTTTCGTTGTACTGATAGATTCGGTATCTGTAATATTTATTGTTGGAGCGCTGGTAGCTGTAATTGTAAAAGACAAAATTGAAATGAATATTTCATCCAAATATTCATCACTCTTTCGTGAAAAATAATAACAATAAGCTGTACCTGCTGGAAAAGTAGGCAACGATTGATTTGAAACTAAAAACGTATCACCGTTTTCTTTATCAATTGTAGTGACCGACACAAAATATGAAAAACAGGCATATAAATTGTTAAAAATATACATTGTCTCGTTAGTATATTTGGTCATGAAAAATCTGTCGTCGTGACTTCCAGTATCTACTGTAACCCGATACTTTTTAACGCAATTACTTGCGATCTCGGGCTTTTGCCACATAATCTGTAGGGAGAAGGAATTTTTTGGTACAATTTCCAAAATTCGTGGCACTCCAGGTACTAAAAAATATTTGTTTGTATAAAAATTGTCGAGCTATTAATGCGGATAGAGTTAGAGAAGCCTAGGGCGTTTGATAAAACTTACTTAAGAAAGATGTTGTGACATCGATAAATCTACTCCTATTTGCTGTAGTCGGGAGAGGACTCACTTCTATTTTGTACTCGGTGCAGGGCTCTAGATTCTTTATAGAATAATTCAAGCTTTCTGTATTATAGCTACCTATTCTATCTTTGTTTAAATACAAATTTATTAAATATTCGGTAGTATTATCACCCGAAATAGTCCACGATATATTTAGAGCGGTAGACTGTATATCCTCTATAGTTATGTTTTCAATAATAGTTATTGAATCTGTAAGTTCTGTAAGTAAATCTGTAAGTAATAATTAATTGATTATTTGCACTGATAGGATGCGGGATAGATTTGTAAAAGAGAACGTTTGTCAAAGATGAATTTGAATAGAATTAACCACCTACCACTAGAAAGTCGGATACCAAAATCTTGAGCTGTAACGGCATATTCTTCCTGAGAATTAATACTTTCGTTATTGGTCGGCGTATAATTGGAATAGTTGACATTTTGTGATATATTAGGATTTTCATCCTCTACGAGGGATGTAGCACCGTTGTGAATAAAACGCTGCGTTAGAGGCGACTTGGTCATTAAAACAGGATTGTCGATAACATTATTTATTATCTCCTTAATATGCAGATCTTCGCTTCCTGGATCTCCATCTCCAAATACGTAAAAAATTTTTAAAATATATAATAACACTTGCAGTCTTTTTCTTGGAATCATTATGTCACTCGCTCTGCAAATTGAATAAAGCTGTTATTTGATAAATCAAATTGTACATTTGTTAAGGTAATTTAGACGTCACCGATCTAACACGTTTTTTTAATTGTTATCAAACCAATTCTCACAGTCAAAATAACGTTTTTAATGGATTTAAATATCGCTATAATCTGGGTGACGACTGGTATCGTTCATTAAATTTTTTCAATCTCTCATATCGTTAAAATGAATAATTGACGAAAAATTGAACGTTTCCCTTATAAATTTAAGCAACGAATTTAAAATGACAATTCTGTAATTGTTGAATTGAAATTCTCGTAAACATGATAAATGCCCGAGTAAGACCACAAAAAAGAAAAAAAGAAAAAAAAAGAAGAAGAAAATAAATAAATAAATAAATAAATAAATAAATAAATACGAAATGAAGAAGAAAAATGTCGAAAAACGAAAAGTCGTTTAAATATAAAAATATTTTATTGTATGTCTAGTACTGTGTGCCTTACGTGATTATTCCATGTCATATCGATCCTTAAACTGATAATAACATTGTGCGATATCGCTATCGGAAATTCCAAACTTTTCAATAATTATCGCAATGAAAAAATGCACTCGCTCTTTAATCCTGCTTCGAGCCAGCAACACGAGCGCGTTAAAGACGCTCGGCAAAGGTATTTCACAATAGATTTTATCACTCCTTAATTCTAAATGAAGTGCCTCCCTCCCGCCATTTCACAAATATCTTGCCGCAATAATGAAAAAGAGCCGTGTAACTGCGAGCCGTGCAAATTCGTAATGCGACACCACCAACAAGTGGGTCGAAAAATCGGTCTTTAGTATCTATAATGTTTCTTACGAGTGCACCGCGCGCATAACGTAACATTTCACAATTTACAAAATAAAATTAAAGTCCGGTAGGTTTTTACATTTTTAAAGTTTAGCGTGCAGCGCACCCGTTCTTTGCGTCTCGTAATAATAAACAAAAGCAAAAGATAAAATGACGAAGATGAAGAAAAAAAATAGAGGGAAAAAAATAAAGAACGGGTAGAAATGGGGCGAGGGGTGAGAGGGGTGATTGGCGGGGCCAGGGGAGGGGAGGGGAGGGGGGGGCGCGATGGAGGGAGAACGAATGAGAAATAGTAAAAGAAGAGAATGTCCGTAATATTAGATATAGGGAGAACGAGAGACTAGCGTTGGCCTATATACGTTTAATGTAGTTATCGATGATGAAAAAGCAACGAGCGTAGGTTACTTATCGATCGCCTAATCAAAAAGGATATATTCGCCCAGTTTTATTCTCGCGCGTTTGATAAAAGAGTCACTTTAGCGACTTCCTGTTTCACGTATTCTCTCATCATCGCTGCGCGCCCTCATCGCTCTCGCACGCACACGCGCGCCCACTCTCTCTCTCTCTCTCTCTCTCTCTCTCTCTCTCTCTCTGCGGCGACGCGCCCGGTCCCACATCAAATGCCCCTGTCTCTCTTTCTTGCACTCAATCTCACTATCCTAAGTCACAGTAACCAGGGGGACGGACAGAAGCAGTGGCAGCGGCGACATATCGTTGATAATGTACAAAAGACACTTGCGAGCAGTCCCCGTGCACTCACGCTCGCGCCGCCCGTGATTGAATAAACATGACGCGGTGATACCGAACTCTATATACATGTCCTAACGAAAGAGAGAGAGAGAGAGAGAGAGAGAGAGAGAGAGAGAAAACGGGGCGAGGGGGTGGGCGGGGGCAGGTGGGATAAAACGAATCCCCACTAAATTATTATGCGTTACAACAACATGTGTGCGAGCGTATGTAAATAATAAACAAGCCTCGAGTAAAACTAACTTGGTTGGGTGAGTTCGATTTTTGTTGTCGCGTAAACAAAACAATGTTGAACGAAAGAACCTCTTGCGAACGTGATAAAGACCGCGGGACAATAGGACGTCGAGCGCGGGGCGGGAAAACCGTCGTTAAATGTAATTTAAAAAAACAAAACAAAAAAAAAATGAAGAAAAAAAGAAGAGCTAAGAGCAGGAATAAAATTGAATTTTACCAGAGTGAAGTAATGCTGAGATTGAAATTGATGGGATTTTTTTAGTAGCCTTCCTTGAGTAGGGCCTTGGTTCCTCGCACGGCAATGCGTATATTTCCTGCATAAGTTATGCACGACTTTGACCTCCGCTGTAGCGGCTCCTGGAAGAAAGGGCGAAAAGAAGACAACGAAGAAGCGGAGGCGGAGGAGGTTCTTCGCCTATGCGAAGAGAAAAGGAGAGGGCACATATTATTCACGAACACCCTAAGCAGCCGCTGAACCCCCACAAGGAAAAAGATGGAGAGACGAAGCTGCTTCCTCTTCGTCCACGCTTTATCCCTCTCTCTCTCTCTCTCTCTCTCTCTCTCTCTCTCTCTCTCTCTCTCTCTCTCTCGCACGCGCGCGCCATCCCACTCCCTTCTCTGACACGCGCATACGCTTTCCTTCCCCTCGCTTGCTCTCTCTCCCGCAGTCTCCCTCCTCACGCTGGCTGTGTTTTTCTTATACTTGTTCCAGCTCTTTCCTACTCTGCATCTTTTATCTCCTCCTCCTCCTCCTCCCCCCCCCCACCCCCTCCCCC